TCTCTATCTCTATCTCTCTCTATCTCTCTATCTCTCTATCTCTCCATCTCTCTGTCTCTCTGTCTCTCTGTCTCTCTGTCTCTGTCTCTGTCTCTGTCTCTGTCTCGGTCTCGGTCTCCGTCTCCGTCTCCGTCTCCGTCTCTGTCTCTGTCTCTCTCTCTCTCTCTCTCGCTCTCGCTCTCGCTCTCGCTCTCGCTCTCGCTCTCGCTCTCGCTCTCGCTCTCGCTCCCGATCCCGATCCCGATCCCGATCCCGATCCCTATCCCTATCCCTATCTCTATCTCTATCTCTATCTCTATCTCGATCTCCATCTCCATCTCCATCTCCATCTCGATCTCGATCTCGATCTCCATCTCCATCTCCATCTCCATCTCCATCTCCATCTCCATCTCCATCTCCATCTCCATCTCCATCTCCATCTCCATCTCCATCTCCATCTCTATCTCTATCTCTATCTCTATCTGTATCTCTATCTCTATCTCTATCTCTACCTCTATCTCCATCTCCATCTCCATCTCCATCTCCATCTCCATCTCCATCTCCATCTCCATCTCTATCTCTATCTCTATCTCTATCTTTATCTCTATCTCTATCTCTATCTGTATCTCTGTCTCTATCTCTATCTACTTATCCATCTATCGACCTGCTATCGATTTCTCCTGAACATTCCTGCTATTCCTTGGTGAAGCTTTGAGGTAGGACTCTTCTGACTTAGATCCTCGAGGCTACAAACAAGTTTGTCTTGGACTCCGTGGGCTGACGATGCTGGGATTCCGGGGCGCCCCGTAGTTGATAATGAACGAACCTGAGTTTTGGGCCCAGCAGCCTGCAGCTTTTTGTTCGGCGTTTGGCTTTGCAGTCATATCAATGCTTCTGATGGAATCGCAAATTGTGGCGACGATGCTGCCCCAGATAGCACCCCTAAACAGGGTACGCCTAACTCATCAGAAATCCCGTGGCCCTTGTCAAGCGCTGTGCGCTCTGTTTAAAGGCGACAAACCACCGACAAACCCGTACAACGCCCTTGTAAAATTTCGCAAAAATCCATGCCAGGAGCAGGCGAAGAAGAAACGTCTGTCCGGCCTCGATGCGCATAAGGCGCCCGGTGATTCTCTGCAAGCACCCGGAGCTGATCAGGAAGCTGTAAGCTTAGTGTTAGGACCTAGCTGTAAGGTTTAGGGCATGGGGCATTCGGGTAAGGTTTCAAGGCTCAGGGCTTCGCGTGAAACTGTTTCAAGTCAGTTTGGAAGAGTTGGGCTTGAAATGGTGGCTCATTTATCATAGCTTCGGCTGTCCGAAACCGGCCTTCTCCCCTGCGAGAAGGCAGCTTTCAGCATGTGCTTCACACACCCAGCGGTTCCCAGACTGGATCCCTGACTCCTTCTCACTCTACTACAGAACACACGGATTTCCTTGTTCATACTATTGAGGCCCCTGGATTACACCCGAAGAGTTGCTTGTAGCACTTGCCGTGCGACCGGATGCTTCTCCGTCCTCACTCTCACTGAACCAGGCTTTGCTGTTGTCCTTGAAGCTCCTTTAGCTGTCGTCCTGAACTGCAAAGTATCAAAAGGAGACCCGGTGCCCAGCTCGTCAACTGTCATACTAAACCCTAAACCCCAAACTGCTTCAACACCTCTTAAAGAGGAGCCGCAGGAATCACCGGGATCTCTGCTCCAAAGCTCAAGCCCCGGAGGCGAACATCCTGGCAGCAAAGGCCATCGCCGATTCTGCCCGAAGCCTGGTGGCTACACGGATCTGCGTAGTTCTGCACATCTACAGGCACTTGAGACGACTGCCTGGATCCGAGGAAGTATTCATGCTTATGGTTAAGAGTTCTGTGTTGCAGGCTAGGCTTGGCGCTCTGTCTTCAGAGTCAGCATCTGCGAGGCAAAAGCAGCCTTGCCCCACTGCTCACAGCTCCTGAAGTGCTTCTGTCTTTGTCTTTGAAGCACCTTGCGGATGTCCAGCTCCAAGCCCCAAGACCAAGACACATTCATAGTTTATAGAGGCCTTTTTAGGAGAGCAGCCGCTAAGGAGCCCTGTGACAACTTCATGGCACTTGAGGAACTCCATAAACCCCTATACTTTATTTGCACCCAAGAGTTCTCAGGTCCGGAGCTCCATGGGCCCAAGGGGCATGGACAAGATGGTCGTCGGTCCAGATGGGGCCCGGGTGCCCGTATTCTGATTATTATGAATATCACTCGAAGCGTCTTTCAGAGTTGTGCGCTTAAGTCCTAAACCAGGTTCTGCACAGCTGCATGAGACCCCCAAGGCCATCTGCTCCAACGTATACATCAATCACGCTGTGGCCAGAAGGGCAAATTTCTTTCCCTCCACGACATCCTGCCTGTTGTAGCTTCTTGCTGAGACTGCCCAGGGCAGCCATAGTTGGATTCAATACCTGGGTTCGGAGAAGTCTACCGTCAAGATCCCTGCAGGGCAAAACAAAAGGCTGCAGTCGGGTATGATGCATACAGCACCTCATGCCAGCCACGAGCTTCCTGCACCAGTTGTTCCTGTGAAAGAGGACTGGTAACATGCCCTGCTCCAGGGATCGTGGGACTTAGTAACCTGGGTTATACAGAATGTAACTCTACTTGCAATTGCTTGTAATCAATTCGTCTAAAAGATTTACCAACACGTCTCCCAAGCTTCCATGAGCTGACGGTTGATCCGACGGAAGTCCAGGATGTCACTGTCACAAACGACGGTGCCACCATTCTTGAAAAGATGGACGTGAACCATCAGGCGGAACGCCCACAACCAGAAGTAGATGTTTTAGAGTTTTCGGACTTCCCTAAACCCTAAACCGTAAACCCTAAACCCTAAACCGTAAACCCTAAACCCTAAACCCTAAACCCTTTGTCTTCACGGTCACTGCCGTGCTGCTGAGTTCCAAGGGACGAATCGTGAGCGAATTGAAGCCTTGAGCCGAAGACTCGGCCCGAGACCCTGGCCCTGAACCCTGTGACAATTTTGTTGTATTATGTTATATTATATTATGTTATACTATATTATGTTATACTATATTATATGATTTTACATCATAGTATATAAAAGCTGTATTATGTTATATTTCTTGTGTTATCTTATTTGATATGGTATTGTTTCATCTTATCTGAACCCAGAAGCCCGAAGCTGCACCGAAAGAGGGTTACCCATAAGATCATGAGAGCCCCGCGGGCAGATAGCGAAGCTTCTCGTCGAGCTCTCGGCGTCCCAGGCCGGCCGTCCCAAACTCTCCTTCTCACTGCGCTTCTTTTTTTTTGGAGGGGGGAGGAGGAGGGATGCTCGGCCGTCTGGAAGCCTTAAGACAGGGATTCGTGGGATCAAGGCTTCACGGAAGGATCCAGGTTAGCAGCGGTTGATTGAGGACTTGATGGGTATGTAGTTCGGCTTGATGTCGATGACAGTGGATTTGGGCCTCGTAGAGGGTGCCGGAATAAGGGTCGCCCGCGCGCAGAGATTTCATCCCGAATCGGTTGAAGGGGCCACTTGGGCGCAGAGCCAAACTGGTGTGCTGCGCGAGGACGAAAAGGTGCACTCGGCTTGACAGTTTGTGCTCACCAACTCCAAATGTCCCGCAGCGTCTTCTCACCCTGGCAGAGACAGGACCACGAGATTGGCGATGGCACCACGGGGGTGGTGGTCATGGCTGGTGCGCTCCTGGAGAAGGCTCTGGAGTCTATTGGTCTCAACTCTAAAAAAACAGTGGGGGATGCTGAGGTCAGCACCCCTCACAGCAAAGGGATGCTGCCTCTCCACGTTGAGCGAACTAGCCTTACGGTATCCTGATAGTACCCGTGATACTACCTTGGTAGTACCCGTATAATACCCTTGCGGTACCCGTATTTGATTGATTATCTTGTAGTAGCTCTTATGAGAAGCTGTAAGACACCCTGATGGTAACCCTAAAAGAAACCCTTATGGGCCCGAATGATCTGGCTCAAAGAGCATCAAGAAGAGCGCGAATCATGCGCACTGCACGGCACTGCAAAGCTTTCTATGGGGCATATTGCAACTGTTACGATGAGGGTGCCATAATACGGGTTTCAATAAGGGTACGACAAAGAGTTGCTAGAAGAGTTACAATAATGGTACCATGAGGACTTGTATAGGGGTCACTACAAGGGTTTGAATAACATATGGGTACCAGAAGGATCAGAAGGGTTTCTACAAGGGTTACTCGCCACAAAAAGAGTACCATAAGGGTTTCCAGAAGGGTTGCTACAGGGGTAGTCCCTATGATAAGGGCAAAATTGAGGTATAGGGTGCTACAAGAGTTGCTTTACGCCTTGACTCTCGACCCTAAACCCTCAGACCCTGAAGCACTTAAGCTGGGCGGAACGAGCCCGGCCCATGTTGGCAGTTCTGCCGGTACATACTGGGAGCAGGGGGGGGGGGTTCAATCAAAAGGTACGTAAACTCCAAACCCCGACCCAGGCCTTACAAGACCCTAAACCCTAAACCCTAGCACAGCTCATGATCGGTTAAGCAACCAGCGCCATCAATGCCGCTGGCGACCCACTCGTGGCTTCACGGCCTCCTCAATGCTTCCGATGACCACGAGGCTCCCTCGCAGCATTGGCACAGGGGCCTAGCTAATGAGAATACAAGGGATAGAAGTCCTAATTTGGCCAAACCCCTATATCAGCAGCGGGTGGGAGTGTTCGTGCGCGTGCGCTTGTGTGAGTCTAGTTTTTTCCGTCAGTTGAAGGGTAATGGCCGAGTCCTAGATTCGGGCAGGCTCGTGTTCGTGTAAAGACGTTGGCTCCCCACAGCGACCTGTGATCGAAGAGATTCTGGGGTGCTTGTACAGCCTCCGATGTTGCCTGAGGCTCAGACCCTTGACAGTTGCTTGTGAGATTGCGAGCTGGTGGAAGGTCGCGGCTTTCGCTGATGGGCCAAAGCCACCCGGCCGCGTGCCGCGGCCAGACACCTGCTTTCTCGGGAAAAGGAAGGTGAAGGTCAAGTTCGACGAGGAGCGCAGGGGATAGGACACTTCCAATCTTGGGAGTCAGGAGTCGAAAGGCAGTGTTTCCTTTGTTGTCCTTCAGGGACTTCGGGGCCACCGGATTTCCTGTTGCGGCTGGCACAGCTCTTCAGTGTCGTTCAGGTGACTGGTGGGGCCATTCCCCGCTTAGATGAGAAGAGCCTTGATACTGGTAAGCCAGGAGAAATATGAACGTCTCGCAGAATCGAGTCGGACAAACGACGCTCACACCCAACCTGCGCCTGACAAGTCTTTCACGCATCTAAACCGTAGCCTGCCCGAGAAGAACCATACAAGCAATACCGCTAAATCACCGAGCCGCAAAGACAGCAATGCGAGATGCAGTCATGTCATTTAGTTCGTTCCAGGTTTTTCCGAGGACCCCGCAGCAGCTTCGCACGTTTTGTCTTCTCATCTGGCGCTCCACAAATCCTCAAGGCTAAGCTGGCACGAGACGGCCCTACGTGACCAGCAATAGAATTTAGAAGACTTGGGGTTCTTCTCCGTTATCCACGAAAGCTTCTAGGCGGACGCGAATGTGCCTGAGCTCTGACAGTTTCAACGCTCAGAACGCTTGTTCAGGAGGGAGTGCCCCGGCGGAAGGGCGTGCCAGTCTGCTGCAATCCGTCCGGACAGCGTGTGTATATGCGATACGCAGAACCAGCAGAGGGGTGCCTTGCATCTGGCATTGAGGTCAGTCTCAGTCTTGCCACTATGCGTTTCGGTAGGTTGCGGTTTTCAGAGCTGCCTCGGATGTGGAAGGAATTCCTGGACGACGCTGTCTACAGACATGCAGGCTCTGCGCCTGCAAGAGTTGGGTGTACACTGTCAACACTCAGCTCTGCAGAAGGTATTCAGTCGATAACTTTCGCAGTGTGTGCCTAGGACGGCAGTCATGGCAATCAGGAGTTAAAGCGAGAGTGGTATCTGCAGATGCTGCATGAGCTCAGTATAGGAGGCAACCAGGCAGTACTTGTTCCTCCTGAAATGACTCAGGATCGGCCAGGGCCAGGGAGTAAGCACAAACTGTGCTCAAACCCTAGACCCGGAGCCCTGAAGCCGCTAACGCCCCTATATCTCCTACACCTGACGGCCAGGACCGATCCAAGATTTATGAAGAGCAAGGCCGGTCGGGCGGGACATTTTTCGTGTCTTTGGCGAGTGAAGGGGGGGGTGCCACCGCGGAGCACTGCGGCTTGAAGGGTTGGGAGGTTCAGTGCTTGTTTTCGGTTGACTTCTCCTCTCCAGTAAACTTAAGAAGCTCAAGACAACTGTGAGGATGAGAGAGATGCGGAGCAGATGATGGCAGCGGCAGAAAAGCAGCGGCGGAGCAAGGAAGGCAGCAAGTTGCCAGAACTTCTGTAGAGTCTGCATGATTACGGCTTCAGGGCTCAGGGCATGTTGGCCTGGGGTTGGGAGTGTCGGGGCCTGACAATGCAGACCTCCATGCACAGACTTCGTCCAGACTTCTGGGTCGGACCCAGGAGACCTTGGAGATGCAAAGGTGTTGCAGGGATAGCGGTCTGGATTTCAACAAAACTGGCGGTACTTCATCGAGATTCATTCCGGACCTCTTGTCCACATCGTGCAAGCTGCCGAAAAGGCGGTAGAATCCTAAAGCCTTCCAGGCCCATCTAGACTATAATCACAAAACCCTAAAACCCCAAACCCAAAGCTCTACGCCCTGGATGTGTAAGCCCGTAAAACTTAAAACCCTATAGGGACCCGATAAAACCCGGGTTGAAACCCTACAGAAACATGCACTCAGCGGCCATGCAACCCTAGACCGTAAACCCCAAAACCCGAGCACTGCAATCACGAAAACCCTGAAACACCACTGAAACCCCCAATGCCCGAAAAGCCGCTAAGCTCGATCTTCACTTCTTTCTGGTATTCCGAGCCTCGAACTCTCAAACTTCAGAGGCCTTAATATTCTAATTCAAGGTCTATCCTTCAATCGATGGTGCTGACACCCCAAAGGATCCCACGAAAACATCTCAGACCTCAAACCCTAAAACCTTGAACCTTTTTTAGTCCTGGATTACAGGGTCGTGGACCTTCCGAGCCCCGAAGGCTCCAGCCGCGGCGGGGCTGGGAACAGGCCCGGCGCGGAAGGCAGGCGCCGCGCAGTTTGGGCAGTGCCTTCTTGTCGTAACGAGAGTTCTTAAGGTCTAGAAAAGAGAAGAGTAGGAAGGAGTAGTCGTAGTCGTAGGAGCAGCAGCAGGTGTAGCAGCAGTAGTAGTAGTAGTCGTCGTCGTCAGAAGATAAGTAGTAATAGTAGTGATCTTCGTTGTAGTGATATAACAATGATTATTGTGACTATCGCTGTAGCTTCTAGTTTCAACAAGATATTCATTTGTTTTCTTCTTCTGCTATTATTATTGTCATTGCTATCATTATTATGGGTAGTTTATTAATTTTGAGTTGTTGTTTCTTTTATATAGGGGTTTCCGGGCTTCAGGTTTTGTGTCTCGGCGAGAAAGGAATCATAGTCTTTGCGGATGTGATGTTCTTTGCATTTGGAGCCGTAAGCATCGTCGTTGTTGATTCGCAACAACCACTGCCTGACTGTGCAACATCCTGGGCACGCAGGCAAAGTCCCGAAGATGAAGCCTCAAATTGATCCACCCGTGAACACGCATGTCACATGAGCCATAGCCGTAAATCGTATCCACCTACCGTGCCAAAGGATATGACAGGTCAACTGCCAGCTGCCGAGTACTTGTGAGCTGTATCCCAGCCGCCTCTTTCCGAGTTGTTGCTAGTTCTTTAGACTTGTGATACAGGTCCTGCAAAACCAGGGCAAGTGGCTGGCCGAGACCATGATATGACCCGCAGCCCTTAAAGGAGAAGTCTAGATGACTCCAAAACCGGTATCAGGGTTTGTGCTTGAAGCCCTAAGCCTCAAATATCGGACCTTATCAAGGCTTTCAGTCCCGAAGAGAGCCGGAGGCTATGCCGAGCGCTTTGTTGGTGCCAACGGTGAGTACAATCCTTTCGGCCGTCACTCGCCTGATGGGGTGCTGCAGGGGCATTCGCGGGAGTGTCGATAGTTACCGTGCATCAACGTCCCCAAGCTTGGACACCTGGTCGAGGCCATTTTCCGGCACCGCCGGCACCGCCAAGGCAACCGCCCAGAAATTTAGGACTCTTCTGCCTTTTTTTTGCTTCGGATGTCTGCAGCTTGTCATAGTATGTGCACCAGAGCTGCACGAGCATTTCAAGCTTTCTCGGGCAGGGTTTTGGATTCGCATCAGCCGGCTCAATAAAGTCTGAAGTTGCTTTCAGAGGCCAAGACCACGTGGTAGATCTCACCTTTTTTCTGGCCGTGCAGCCTCAAACCCCAAAGCCCCAAAAACTCTAACACTGAACACCCACCCCAAAACGACAAAACCCCTGAACTTTTGAACATGCATAAACACCCCTCAGCGCCCCCCGAAAGGAAGCCTGGCTTCTGGCCATGGCTGGATGCAAAGAAGAGTCTTCAGGCCGATTCTGTGGGTTAGCCACACGAGCGCTTGAATTGATGAAGCTTTATGATCTTACATCCTATTCCCATACCATACCATACCATACCGTACCAGACCACTGTGCCTTGCTACATGCTGATCTCATTGAGGATCTCATAGAGCCCTTTCCGTATCCCCTATAAATCCCAACAAACCCCCAAAGCTTGCGGAGGAGTTGGCCAAGGGATCTCCGAACCCCCAGTACTACTTGACGAACTGGGCCCGGCACCCAGGCAGGGTCATATCAGGTCCCTTTGGGCCCCAGTTTCTCCAGCCTCGTGGCTGGAAGCCGAGTGTTTTTCAGTTCAGCCTGCGAGGGCAACCCCCGAACTCTGATCTGCGAAGTGGGGTTTGGGAGAACCGGCGTCGAACTGATGGAAGCTTGCCGGCCATCTTTCTGCGACTGAGATTGACCGGGTCAACCACATGAACTTCCTCGGCTGGGTAGATGGCGATGCTCTCAGCAAATGTAAGAGAACCAACGCTCTGGCTGTGATGACACTTGGGTTTCGGGGTTGCAGGGTTGTTGCCCGCCGCGAATCGGGCGGCAGCAGGAAGCGATTGATCGCAACTTTCATGTCCGGTCGATCAGGGTGAGAGAGAGAAAGAGAGAGAGAGAGAGAGAGAGCACTCTGCACTTTTCGAATGACGGGCCGCTGAGCCTTCCCATTTTCGCCTCCATAACGATAGCTTGCAGTGCCCTTGACCCCGGATTTCAGGCCACCCACCGAGGCGAATAAAGCTTTCTTTATCCCTTTTGCTTGCGGTTTGGATGCCCGTTTGCCTCGATGGGGAGTGTGTGCTATCGATCCGATAGCTACTGGCCGGCTGCTTCGGGGGCCCCCCCGTCGCTCCTTTCAATTTCGCCTTGCCTCGTTTGCATTTTCCACTCTTGGCACCCGCAACAGTCGGGGGCGCACCTGCGCGCGGTGTAGGGGGCTTGCTCCCTGCACCACAGCCCTGGCGAAAGAAAGAGAGAGGCCTTGTGGCGCGCGGAGGTAGGCCGCTATACCTTCTCTTGGCTGTGTGGAAGAAGACCGTGTGGCCGGGGGGCCCGACAAGCCCCTCATGGAAGAAGGGCGAGAGAGCGGGCGAGAGAGCGGGAGAGAGAGCGAGGGAGAGAGTGTGTGACGGGGAAACCATATCTTTTTACGAGCTCTGACTGTTGGTGCCCCTTAAAGCGCCTTTCGGCGCGGGGGGCTTGAGACGCCCTCTGGACCCCGAAGTGAAGTGAAGTGAAGAGTGAGTGTGTGTGTGTGTGTGTGCACGCATATAAAGCGTTTATCATCGAGAGGACTTGCTCCAGTGTATGATTTGCGTGTGAAATCGCCTCCGGCACATCCGATCTGTTGCTTTCACTCCACCAAGGATGTGATCTAGAGCCAGAGGTGCTGTGCTAGGCTTGGGATGCGACATATAAAATTTCCATCTTTTGGGTTTTTCCTCTGCAAAAGACGGACGCTCTATCTCGCCCCGTGTCGGCTTGGAAGGGCTTGAAGTTGTGTTCGATGCCCTGACAACCGCCTAACGCTCTACTTGCCCTGACTGCCACCTCTCGGCGCCGAAGATTTGGGGATTTTCGCCCTGAGCTGTAAGCCCTCAGGACCTACCGATGTGCGACCTGGAATCGTCTCCAATGCGCCCGACGATCCCCTGGATGATGCCACGGAGTTCTGAAGTCCGGACTTGGCGAGCTTCACTCAGCGATCCCGAAGCTAGGGGTCCGAATAACTTGTTAAAGTATACCAGCGGCATGACTTAGGCTTTGGTTGGGGCCTACTCTACTTCTTACGGCCTCTGTATTACCTGCATGCCTGCAGCTATTCCTTGCCAGCCATGCCGCGTGTTTGCAAGCCTCTACATCTCCAGAGCCTCCATGTTCTGGTCCAGAAAGGTTGCCGCAGTAGGCCTGGTCTGTTCGTCGTGTTTCGGACTAGTAAAGTTAGGCAGCCGTCGGAGATTTCTGCTTCAATTCAACTTAGATTCAGTCAGATTCCCTCGCGGACATCGGTTTGTTTTGGGCATCGTATACGTCTTTTTGAAGGACTCAGGGCTTGTTGCTACCAGGCCAACCAACCACGTTGTGAGATCTTCGCCGCCTTATCCTTTGTTCTGAGTCGGTAGGCCCTCCATGGCGATCTCCCCTAAACCCTAAACCCTAAATTTCTTAAAGGAGAAGTGCAGCGGGCATCGCAGAAGGGATGGTGACAGAGCCCGACGAAGCTATCCAAGTTGCGTGTGGCGCAGCCAGGAAGCCCCTGTGAGCATTTCTCGGAGTCGCTAGGCCTCTAGAAGCCTGAATGGCTTGAATAATTGCCAACTTCATGGTGTAGGTTTTCTTTGGAACCCGCATGAGAATGTACCCCAAAACCGTAATGATTCTAACTCTGAAGGCCTCTAAGTTATGGGTCGGAAGGGCCTTGCGCCCTTCGCTTCGAGACGTGCTCAGCTAATGCTCTCGCATTGCGCGCCTGCATGCACCAGCTCCGAAAGAGCCTTTGCTCCAGGATCATTGGAAAAGGGGAGGGGTCCTAGCCAAACTACTGTAGGGGCTTGACTTCTTATGACCAATGTTATTCCAGATTATTTCGTAGGGCCTTAGGCCTTAAGGATCCTTAATATACAAGTACTCCAACACATTTTCATCCCCCGTATTACCCATTAGAGTTAGTGGGCGGGCAAGTGGCAAACTCAGGGAACCCAATAAATAGAGCGGGACATCCTTTGGCATGCTCCAGTTGTAAGGTAGGGCAGGGCTATCGGATGTCAGAGATTCAAGATGTCGGATTGCTCTGAAGCGCTGGTTTAGGGCTCTTAGGTTCTTAGGGTTTTAGGATATTTGAGGGTTCTCTGAGTCCGGTCCCTTCTCTTACCACTGCTTGTGAGTCCTTGGACCTCATTGAGAAGGGCATTCACCCGCTTCGCATCGCCACCGGCTTCGAGAAAGCCTGCGAGGCCTTTTGCAGCAATATGGGGGCCTTAACAATCAGAAGAGGATTTGGGGGTATTGTTTAGTGCTAAGGAATAATTCTAAACGCTTCGCGTCTTGTACCCAGGCCCGGTCGCAGGTGAAGAGTAGTCTCCACATCACGGCCGGTTCGCAGTGCACCCAGACGGCGAATGTGGGCCAGAGGGGGGGAGCCAAGCCTGCTTGCCGCAGTGAGAACCTGGTCACGGGGAGGATCAAGAGGAGGGGAAAGTTCTTGGAGAGGCAACGGGGTGCCCCTGACCGCTTCGGCCACAACTGTGGCGAATGTAGGTAATGTTGCACCCTAAACCCTCACTACCGGCTAGACTTCGCTTCGGGAACCTGCCTTCTGCCTTCGCCAGCTTTTTCAGGGGTCGTGGGAGATTCCAAAGCATCCCGCTTGTGTGGAGAAGCGGTCTGCAAGCTCGGGGAGCCTCAAGGAGTGTAGCTCTAGTTCTGACTCTCATGGAGAGAAGCTCTTGCAGAGCCAGCTGAACCTGAATTAGCACTGTGGTTGGGGGCCTGGGCTAAGATGTCGTTGGCAGGTGGCCGTGAAGCGAGTGGAAGAGATCTCAAAGATCGTAGACATCCTTGCAGATGTCTTTCAGCTGCACCGAACAAGGCTTTTGGCGTATCGGGCTTCAAGCTTGTCGGCTTTCGGGCAGGAGAAGCTTCGGGCGCACGAGTAGCTGAGAAGTGTGCACACCAGAATATGTTGATCTATGGCAGGGATCCTGCTGACCGCCGAGCGTTCACGGGTATGCTTTAACCAGAATGCGCCCCGAAACTACATTCTAACTATTACGGCCCCTTAACGAAGCTTACGGCAGCCTGAGAGAGCCCAAACCCTAAACCCTCACAAAAAGGCCCCAAGCCCACATGGACCCAGGACCAGACTGCGCTGAAGAAGGCGGCCACGACTGCTCTTGGCTCCAAGGTGCTCCCGGCTCGGGCCTGGTCACAGGGGTGGGCTTGTAGTAACAAGAATCCTAAACCCCTAAACTCTCAACCCTAAACTCTAAACCACAGTAGTAATAGGAAGTGGAATGGTAATGGTACTAGTAATGGTAATGGTAATGGAACTAATACTAGTATGGGAGTCCACTGCTTTTGGGAGTCCCCTACTTTGCTTCCCTGAGAGGTGGTCAGCAGCCGGAAAGACCAGCTTGCCAAGATCAGCGTAGACGCCGTCCTCGCGGCCGGGCTCGGGGACGGAAGGATTTTGCTAGGGATACACGCAAGAGCTGGGCTCTGGTAGGGGTTCTTCAATCTTTTGAAAGTGTCCGCCACGATCATTTCCGTCGTCTCACGTAAGAAAGTATCGGATTCGGGATCCTGGGTTCCTCAAGACAACTATCTTTCTATTGTGAAGCCTCGGCGGAACATAGCATCGAGCACGAAGGGTTGACGTCGCCCGTAAAGCGGTTTTGTCGTGGTATTTTCGCTCAGAGCATGTTCGAGTTTCCAACTTGTTGCCGACATGCTTCCTGCTGGCATCACAGTCATCTGCGTATGCAGACATGACATGAATACGATCACATCTGAGCCGTCAACTCTACTAATCCTTTTGGCAAGATTCTCAATGCAAGCACATAGGAGCAACCACAGCCACAGACTCCAGCGAAGCATGGGCCCCCCGCTGTGCCCTGAAACCCAAGTGCCTTCCCTGCTGGGAGAGCTCCAAGCCTTCCGGGGCTTAGACCCTGCACCCCGTGCAACCACAACTTTTCAGACCTCATTGCAAGGAAGCCCCATAGAAAACCCAAGTAAAGCCTGTTACAGCAGTACAAGACCAGGACCCTGTAAGAAGCCCTGAAGCCAAGCGTACTCCATCATCGCCCCTGTACACTTATGGTGTCTTATGCCCCCCCACAAACCCTACTCGAACTATTCGGGCCCCGAATGAAAGCCCCTCGAATATTCTGATTTCTCGCTCCTGGCCCCTTGTGGCGGCGCACGCCATGGGAGAGTCCGGGCCTCTGTGCAATGCGAAGCTTCAAGTGCGAGGGTACAGGGTTAGAGTTGAGGGAGTTCAGGGTCTAGGGTCTAGGGTTTCAGGGTGATGGGTTGAGGGGGCAACCTGAACGAACAGCCTGTTTCTTTGCAGTGCAAGAGCTCGCACAGTATATGAGTAGGCAATCATGATCATTGCCATTCCGTAGTTCCTTGACATGATGTTTGTAGTTTTTCACCATCACCGTGTTCGAATGATTGCAATCAGAAACCCCCGAGATGCCTTATGGCACACCATAGAGGCATCTTTCATGTGTGAATGGCTCCTAAATCCTCTACCCCGAACCATGAACCCTGAGCCCCAAATCCCAAACCCACAACCCTAAACCCGCTCTACATTGATGACAACATCTGAGAGGGCTGTGTCTTTTCCACTGAGAGGGTGGTGTGTTTTGCTTGGAGTGTGTTGACAGTGCACGCTCGATGAGCGAGCTCTTTTGACCTTCTGCGGGGAGAAAGGGTTATTGCATTATAAAAAAACCCTCTCTACTGAGCGAGCTTTCTGACCTCGTGCGAGAGAAAGGGGGCTACTGCATTTAAAACAAACCCTAAACCCTAGATCCTAAACCCTATAGCCTAAATCCCCTAAACCCTAAATCCTAAACCCTAAGCCAGTACCGAGTCTGGGCCATCCTCTCAGGCCGGACGACAGTAGAAGCCCGCAGCGGAGTGACAGCCGGGACCCTGACGAAATGAGAGGGGCTTCGCGTTTCAAACTGTACTCGTACTGCATGGTCTTTTCTTAATTAATGTTTGAACTACACGAGTTTGCAAGTTGTTACTTGGCTTCTGGAAAATACAAGGGCCTTGCAGTTGAGAGTATACGTATATGGGGACTGTAAGGGTGTATCAGTATTATTATTATTGTCAGGGTTGTTATTATTCAAGTATGATCATCATTTAATTAACTAGTAGTATTACCTCATGAGTTGAGTGGATCCGGGCATAGAGGTTGAGCGGATTTTTTGGGGGTTGGGAGCGACGGGGTTGGATTCTCGTTTCTGCAGTCATTCCGGTAAACTCTCGACTTCCAGCTAACAGATGGAGGTCAAGGTGAAGAGAGCAAGAACGCCAAGGAGAACAACCAGAAGAACAAGAGCACAAGCAACGCACGCAACAATGACAAAGGGGGCTCGAAACAGACCCCCCGACATCCGAAACCGCTTCTTGGCACTGACAGATGACATCGAAAAGCGCTCCATGACATCGAACCTTCTCGGTTCCTTTCCGTCCCGTCGCGTGCCCGTCCCGTCCCCTCCTGCCATCCCGGGCAGTTCCCTTCCCGTCCCCGTCCCGGCATCAGACAAGCTCGGGCGAAATCCATCTTGAGCTGTCAACGCAATCCTCCCCATGTCCGGGTATACTCTCCCACAAACAACTGTCTGGTGCTTAGTAGGGAATGGGGGAATGGATCCCTATGATAGTCCGTTAAGGTCCCATATAGTAGTCCCTATAACCCATTCCCCCATTCCCTACAGACAGACAAAGACAGCAGGAGCAACCAAGAC